GTCACCTGCATCCTGTTTGTGGGGATACGCCAGAAACATCTGCCTATGGTTCGTAACTCCCAAAAAAATTCAATTTTAAGGCCTCAGCAAAATTTTATGATAGCTGGTCTGCTGGCTGAATATGAGTGCGAGACGATTTCCTGAGGCTGGTGTTAAACATTCCTTGACATTGTTATTAACTCGTTATTTTCAGAGATGAAATTACAGAATTTCACTTTCGTCACTCTGTACCACTGTGTCTCGTGGCCTTCCATTACATGAGGAATCAACTAGCGCTCCCGGATAAAAAATGTGACATTTTTCAATGAAAATATTCCTACTTATTCAATATTCCTATCTGGTTACTCAAATGGTCAAAATTCTCTCAACTAGTCCCATTTTTTACCCAGTTAAATTCTCTTGACTCTTGCTTCATGACGATACAATGATAATACGTTGATTAATAATATGATAATTCCACAGGTTGATGGTTATAAATTACTTGCCGGTCGGGGTTTTGGCCTAAATTAATCGATTTATGAGATATATTATTTGACAGAGATTATAATCAGATATGCCACCAAATCGCATATTTGGGGTTCATTTTTCAAAATTTTCCCGTGGGAGAGCCCCGGACCCCCTATCCGGGCTCCGCGGTCAGTAAACGGGGCCGCTCCAACACGGGAGCCCGGGCCGGTTTTAGGCCCCAATCCGCCCCTGCACCCAACCCCCTGTTGTCATTGAAGTGTTCTGAAATGAAATGAAATGGGGTTTAACGTCCTACTGTTCTGCTCCGAACTGGGCTAATGAAGACGGGCATACGCCATACAGTGTGCTATGAGGGAAATTTTGCCTGGACAGCGGCACTACGGCCTACTCTTATCGAATTCCAACTGTCAAGGGATCTTTTACGTGCACGCCAATGTGTACACGGGACCTTGGTTTTTTCGTCCCATCCGAACGACTAGAAAGCTGTCCTTGTCAGGCCCTCCGTCCTGCATCACTGACAAGGGGGAACCACACCGGAAAATCTGGATGAACTTTCTCGGCCAATGCGGGGATCGAACACCGGACCTCCTGCCAGCGTCTTACCCACTTAGCCACGTGATCTGACGATGTGAGGGATTAGCCAATGCAATGGTCTGTTACGGCAAGCTTTTGGCTTGATGTGCACAGAACTGTGGGTAATCTAGTAGAAATACCAATGCTGATTGGTTAATCAAATGTCTGACATCCTACGGTCAAAAGCTGCTCGTATGACCTCTGATGCGACCTCCCGAAACAACTTGTCATATTTTCATGTAGTGTAAGCCATCGAAAGTATAAAAAAGCGACATGAAATATAGATCTCTATTTTAGTCAGATTGATTTTAATAATTATGACTTTGGTTATCTTGACGTAAAAATATGGGATTCTGTGGCAGAATGAAAGTTTTAAAATTAGTACACAACATTGTTTGAGTGCCATTTGTAATGAAAAGAGAACAGCATATTATCCGAGAAAGCAATGCAGAAGTAATTACAAATGGCCAATACCAGCCCCATAGTCAAGGGGGCAAGTGGGGGGGGGGGGCAATGCCAACCTGAAAAAATGGTTTGCTCCACTGGACCAAGATTTTGGAACACACAGGACCCACTCTCTGGTTCAGGCCGATTCCACCCCAAACCATTATAAAATCTTCACTGCCCCTTCTGCAGCCAACAAGCTTGCTAAGGGCCTGGGCCCGTTTCACGAAATTTTAACTAAGATAAAATACAAATTTTAGTAATTTGATTGGATAATATTAGATTGATTTTAGTGCTTAGCCAATCAAAATTGAAGTATTTACTTAAATTTGGATTTTATCTTTAGTTAAAATTTTGTGAAACAGGGCCCAGGAGCCTGTTTCACGAAATTTTAACTAAGATAAAATCCAGATTTTAGTAATTTGATTGGATAATATTAGATTGATTTCAGTGCTTAGCCAATCAAAATTGAAGTATCTACTAAAATTTGGATTTTATCTTTAGTTAAGATTTCGAGAAACAGCGCCCAGGCCGATACACCTGTGTAGAATGGTCTAAGTAGGCACAAACGACTGTCGTTACATTTGGACTGTTTTCGTCTATCTATACATTAACATTATATCCAATTATAATTGATGACCTCTAATACCCTTATAATTACTAGGGGATTACATTAATCAACGACGTCGCTCTAATTATTCAGGAAACAAGTCAATCTTAATTATGGTCACATATTACAGTTCTTTTATATTATACAGGTCACAATTACTGATTATTACTGAGTGACGTTTCGACTAGGCTTCTCTAGTCATTATCAAGTAATGATAAAATATAACGAGAGAGAGAAATGGGGTTTAATGTCCACTCGACACAAACTAGGTCATTTCGGGACCAACACATGGTTCAACTTAATTTCAATAATTCGCTTGCACATAGGGGTCTTTAGCAGTGGGAGGAAACCGGAGGAAACCCATGAGGTTGGACAGGCGACCCTACTCCTTGTCACGCACAAACGGGGAATCGAAACCCCCACCAGTTGACTCCTGAGGTCGGGTGTTCAATCCCTGCATTGGCCGAGAAAGTTCATCCAGATTCCCCCTTGTCAGTGATGCAGGAAGGAGGGCCTGACAAGGACAGCCGTCTAGTTATTTGGATGGGATGAAAAATCGAGGTCCCGTGTACACACTGGCGTGCACGTAAAAGATCTTTTGACAGTTGGAATTCGATATAAGAGTAGGATGTTGTGCCGCTGTCCGGGCAAAATTTCCCTCATAGCACACTGTATGTGTACGCCTGTCTTCATTAGCCCAGTATAGGAGTAGGACGTTAAACCCCATTTCATTTCATTTTATTTCTTAATCGAAGGCAATCTACCCTAACACATTAATTAATTAAAGTTTAACACTAGGTCTCTAATAATATGTAAGCCTATTTCACACATATGATGCAAGATGCAATGTATATATATATATATAATCTTATTACATTATTACTTATCTAAATATATTATGTACACAATGTACATGGACACAGTCTAGTAATAATTTATAATCTAAATTACCGGTACATGGCTAGCAATTTCATAGTCTACACTAAATGTATGCTAATCTTAATCAGATTGTCTGATATACTGTCATTAATAAATAATATTATCTAAATTACATCACCATGTGGTTGTCTGATATAAATGTATACTTATTAAAGTAGTAGTTTCAAATTTTCTATCATCCCATTTTTTCAAATTTTTACTGGGTGGGAGTTGGATGGCCGATTGGTTCGCGTTATATCATAAGGTCTGTCATTCAGTCAACTGCCGTGGTTTCGATTCCCCTGTTTTGCATAACAAGGAGTAGGGTCACCTGTCTAACCTTGTGGGCTTTCTCCGGGTCCTACGGTTTCCTCCCAGCTCTAAAGACCCCTACGCATAAGCGAATTATTGAAACAGAAATGAACAATATGTTAGTCCCGAAATGACCTAGTTTGTGTGGAGTGGATGTTAAACCCCACTCTCTAAATATTTTATATCTGTTATTGTAACAAACATTAGATTTAGGGAGAAATGGGGTTTAAGTCCACTCGACACAAACAAGGTCATTTTGGGACTAACATATGGTTCAATTTTATTTCAAAAATTTGCTTGCGCGTCAGGGTCTTTAGCAGTAGGAGGAAACCGGAGTTCTGAGAAAACCCACAAGGTTGGACGGGCGACCTTACTTCTTGTCATGTACAAGCGAGGAATCGAAACCCCGCCCGTTGATTTAATGACGAACCTTATGATACAACGTGCATGCGCTAACCATTCGGCTGTCAAACCCCAACGCTATATTTAGGAACATGGAAGCAAATCTTCAAATTTGGTATACAGTGGCGTAGAACACTGGGGGTGGGTTGTGGACAGTAAATTCAAGAAACAGGGTCACAGAAATTCGAGCAATCATTCCCATATTCCACTGAACATTATTCGAGGTCAGACTCTAAGGAGTATCGTCAAGACTATTATTCCAGTCTATAGAATCAAGAATCAGGAATTTTATTATCAATATTCATTCCCTTAAAATAAAATTTGAGAAAGTAATCTTTTTCGTATATTCGACTAAAATATGAAAAATTTGGACACCAGGGCCCTGTTTCACGAAATTTTAACTCAGATAAAATCCAAATTTTAGTAATTTGATTGGATAATATTAGATTGATTTTAGTGCTTAGCCAATCAAAATTGAAGTATCTACTAAAATTCGGATTTTATCTTAAGTTAAAATTTCGTGAAACAGGCCCCTGATCCTGCCACCCCCCTCCCTCGAAATCAAATACTCATGTACGCCTATGGGAGTAAATGTACACAGACTTGTAGAGGTACTTTAAACGTAAGTATAATATACATAAAAAGATAAGTACAAGTTAAAAGATAAACTAAACATACATGTACTCTATTGATACTCAGGCCATATTAAAGGCTGAATACCACTCTTGTTGTAACTGAATAATATGTCCCAATCTTTATTCTGGTCAACAAATTGTACTATTATACAATATTCCAATTAATTGATGATATAAATTTCATTTTAACACACCTAATTTAAAAAATTGGAAAAATTCAACTAAATGGTTTGAAAAGCCTGACGTAAAGCTTTTCAAATGAGAATTGGATTTAAAAATATTTTTGAACCCTCTGGACAAGTAAAATAGAATTTAATGGATAATTTACACAACAGGTTGGACACTAACACATCTAGTACTTAGAATAAGGCTATTTTTTATTTTCTGGAACTGTCAAGCCAGCAAGAGTGTTATTGTCCCTTTAATTTAATTTTCTGTTCTTCGGGGGTCTTGATAAATAAATACCCACTTTAATGGCGTGATACATGTACCTTCTTCATTAGCCCAGTTCGGAGCAGAACAGTAGCATGTCAAACTCCATTTCATTTAATGGTGTGATAGATGTTTTGTTTAAAATGTCACAAAGAACAGAAAATCAAATTATTGTGGCCTAAAATGAATGATAGGCTATTGTTAAGTGAAATTTCTAGATCAATTTATTTTCAATATGCAATGCCAATATTTGTTTATAAACATTTTCTTATTCCAATTCAGCAATGTTTAAAGCTAATTCAATATCAGGAATCGATATCCACGGCTATATTCACAATATTTTTAATTGATAATATCTTGATTGCTTTTTAATGGCAAGCACACTGTGTGCCACAAACTATTATACATATTCCTGAAGCAATGTCCCGAGAAATCCCTCTCTGACCATTGCTGGATTAGCTTCTGATACTTGAGCTTTTGAGGGAGTATGTCTATTCTTCCCGTTCAATCAAATCTATCCCATGTACAACAACATGACAGCCCTTCGTTTGATCTGGGGTCTTCCCTAAAACTTTGGACAGTATTAAAAACGGTGAAAGTATTGTTCGTTTCCAAACAGTATTGTTTACATTGTATCTGTTTTGATAGCCTCGTTTGTCACACAATTAACTTTCTGCAATATTCTGCTATGCACTTGTTAATTGGGTGTAATAAAATTGTGAGTCATGACGTAACGTTATGTAAACAAATTTGGTCCAATTTGGAGCTCTGTTTAAAACATAATGATATTGTTATGCAGAGAGCTATTGGTTGTTAATCGGACTATTGACCAGTCATAATTTGGAACAGAAATTTGCTTCCATTACAGCAGTGTTAAGTGGGATTAGCTCTAATCAAACGAAACACTGCGAGGACTATGCTATTATACTGTCATATGAATAAATGTTTTTTTGTGTGGATTTCCGGTGCACATTAAATACAATTAGATGATAATGATTTTCCTAAATATATGTTACAGTCAATGTCTACAATCAAGCAATGGATACAATGCCTTTGTAACCCTAACCCCAACCCTTACCCTAGCCCTAAACCTAACCCTAACCCGGCAATTTACACATTGACTGGTATATTTCAGGCATTGTACACATTGCCTGATTGTAGACATTGATTGTCACATATATACTTGTATCATAACTGCATACATGAAGTTAATGTTAGGTTCCCACTATCACGATTCATGCTACGATTGAAATCGTGGTTTTAATCATAGAGTAATCGTGGTGATACTATCAGGTCTTATCATATATTGATGTCAGTCGTAGCAATCGTGTTGATCGTATCGAAACGTATCTGCACGCATCACATAACAGTGGAAACCTAGCATTACAATTATTAAAATTTTGGTTCAAATTAATTCTGAAATTTGGGAATACTAAGAAATCATTCGAGTTTTGCAAGGAAATCACTAGAAATTTGTAACTAAACTGGATAACTATCAATCATTAAACTTAAACATACATTATGCAAGAGCTGAATCTACCTATTGCAGGTCTTTCTTTAGGCCTGAAATGTTATCTAAATTATTAATTAGACATTAATTAACTTATCCAGACCATAATCAAATCTCGATCTCATCGCTAGCCTGCGATATTTACTGGATTAGGTTCCGATTTCCTGTTCGATTTCCATTCATAATTTAATCATTAAATGGATAATCGAGACTATGTTTTTTATCCTACTAACTTTAGTAATGATGATCGAGGCTAGACCGAAAATCAATCGCTAAAATCTTGGTTCAGAGTGGATCAATTTGACTGAAATTTTCAGCAAATTGCCTTTACATTATCTACATTGTAGTTTTTAACTATTATAGTGAGAACTGCCAGCTCTTTATCTAATCTCTCATAATGTATCTTTAAAGTAAAATTGAGATTAATTCAGTTATTTCTATTTTTTTTATTCTTTAATACATGTAATCGTAGGCTGAGATTTTCGAACGACATTGATTAAAATTTCCACAATCCACATTTGATTTAGAAAAATTTGATAACTATAGTAAAATTGTATATTTGTAACTTAAACATGCATTATGCAAGAGCAAAATCTGCTTATTACAAGTCTTTCTTTAGGTCTGAAATGTTATCTAAATTATCAATAAGACATTAATTAAACATACATTATGCAAGAGGTAAATCTGTCTATTGCATGTCTTTCTTTAGGCCTGAAATGTTATCTAAATTATTAATTAGACATTAATTAACTTATCCAGATCATAATCAACTCTAGATGGCATCACTAGCCTGCGATCTTAAGTGGATTGTGAGCCGATGTATCTTTAACTTATCCACACCATAATAAACTCTCGATGTCAAGGCTAGCCTTCGATGTTGGCTGGATTAGATTCCTATATGCCGCTAACGGCCATTGATAATTAAATCAGAAAAAGTGGATAATAGAGACTATGCTGTTTATATTAATGATTTTAGTAAAGATGACCGAGACTATGCAAAAATTTCACCCGCTTCTTTCTCGGCTCATAGTGGATCAATTTGACTGAAATTTTCACCAAATTACCTTTACACTATCTAGTTTTTAACTATAATAGCGAGAACGGCCATCTCTTTATCTTATCTCCCATAATGTATCTTTAACTAAACTGGATAGCTAACAATTATGAAACTTAAAAGTAAAATTGAGATTAATTCTGTTGCCTTTTTTATTCTTTAATACATGTAATTCAAATGACCTTGATTAAAATTTGATTAATAAACATCTGATTTAGAAAAATTTGATAACTATAATAAAATTGATTATTCAAGCACACATATTTGGTATAAAGTAATAAAAAATACTAAAGAAGTAAATCCTTCGTCAGGGTATTCACATTATTCATTTAATCTTAACAATAGAAATCAACTCTATTATTTTCATGGTTACCACTACTTTAATACATGTAGATTGAAAGGGAGTGGGCTCGGTTATATGACTTTGATAAATTAATACTTAATTCCCTAATAATGGGTTTTTGTGTATAGGGAGATTAAGGTCATATCTGGAGTTAAGTACAATGCACACAAATAAAGGGAATTGACATGATCGAAGTGGTTGGTCGACTAGAGGTTTGTTATCTCCCTTGTAAACATTCTATATCAACTAAGTAATTCTATATAATCAATAACAAACAGATAACCATTGTAATGAATCAAGGTTAAAGGTCGACTAACTAACATTGATTAAATTACATACCCGATTAAGTCAAAATCAACAAAGATCTTTTAAAAAACCTAAAAAATGTCTAGCTATACATGTAATCGTCCTATCTTTTTTTTTATACATGCTATGTACAATTATACAATTAAATGCAATAAAAAAATATATAATCATAACAAAAATCAAATTTATACAAGAAAAAAGAAAACTTAATAAGTGCACTATAAAAAGTTTTTGATTTTTTTAGCAATTCTTCAACAAGTGATAATGATTTTCATTCTTGTTTTTGTTGTTTCGTTTTTTTAAAAAATATTTATAAAATAAAACAAATGAATATCACAGAAAAATACTATAAATAAGATCCTACATATAGAGTAATATGTAAAATACCTTATCAAAGAGAAAAGAAAAAGTTTTAAAAGATGGAACAGAAAAGTTTTGAATATCACAGTAAGGCACAAATTAAAGGACAATATTGGTGTCAGTCATTATCACATATGTTATAGAACTTGTTAGACACGTTCCAAATATAATTTTAACACAGAGACCATTGCAATGATAGATGTGTTATGAAGCTTTCAAGAAAGGGAAGTGACGAATGCAAAAGGAAAACACGAGTTATCCTTCTACAATGTATATAACTAACTGAAGTGACGAGTGATAACAGATTCACGGGTGAATTTCTGCTCACTAATGATTCTTTCAAGACCAAAGTTGTTATATGAGACTGTGTTTTCCTTTTGCGTTCATCACTTCCCTTTCTTGAAAGCTTCATAACACATCTATCGTAGCAATGATCTCTGTGTTAAAATTAATTATATTTGGAACGTGTTTATCCAGTTCTATCACATCATGTGATAATGACTGACACCAATATTGTCCTTTAAGTCTATTAATATGAAGTCACTTTTAACTGGCTTTACATTGTTTAAGAGTTAACACAAGATCCTCTTTGGCGGCTAATACATCCTCTAACTGACCTTCTTGTTTAATAAGTTCTTTTAACAAATAACTTCTGTCTTTCTCAGTTCCATTTAACACTTCATGGAGAGCCTTTTGCCACTTTGACTCTCTATTGATTCGCACTTCAATTTCAGATTTTAACCATTTTAATTTATTTTTCACATCCGCTATCAAATGACTAACACTACCAAAAATACCGGTTTTACCATTTAAAGGCTGATAGATAGAGGAAGGACAGAAAGAAGCAGCTATCAAAAGCTCATCTATTTCACGGGCAATTTCTGCGATGACTGCACGTTGGTTTTTCTCTAATCGTAGTAATTCCGATTGTGCATCTTCGAGACTGTCTTCTAGTTTCTTGACACGGTTCACGTCATCTTGATGTAGGAAGTTAGCTTTGGATTCTTTATCAGAACGCAAATGATCAATCTGGGTCAGTAATGCTATGTTCTCGTCCTGGGATTCTTTCAGTCGACTCTCCAATTCATCTACTTTCATCAACAAAGAGTCTTCATTTTTCCGGGATATTTTCCGGGCAGATCTTTCTTCTGTTAGGTCAACTTTCAGAGCGTTAACCATAGCTTCGTATTCAGCTAAACCGTGTTTGAATCTTCTGGTCACCTCGAGTCGTGTTTGAACCTCTCTGTTTTTAAGATGATTCAGCTCTTCTTTTAAAGACTCCACCCCATTATGATGGCCTCCTCTTTCTTCGGCTAACTGCCTCTTACATGACTCTAGGTCTTCGCGAGCTCCTCTTTCGCTGCGTTGCAATTCTGCCACCTTCTTTTTTAAACCATTTACATTGCCATTAGCTTCCATTAACTGCGTCATTAACTCGGACTTCGCTGAGCTTAACTTTTGTTGTTCGCTCTGAAGCTGTGAAGCGTGGTCCTGTGATGTCATCTGTGATGATTCTGCAGCTGCTAAACGACTTTCTAATATAGCACGATCTTGGGTAACTCTCATCAACTGGGTCTGGCAATGTTGCAATTCACTTTCCATCCTTTCTGCCATTGATCTAGCATCTCTTACTTCTCCTTCTAAATCCAACTTGTAAGATTTCAAATCACTGACTTCAATATCCTTAATCCGCAGTTGTTCATCTTGGGTCGCTCTCACAGCTAGGGCTTCGGCCAACTCCCGTTTTATGGCATCCACATGCATCAAGGAATGATTTGTACCGTGACGCAAGCCTTCCATTTCTTTAATCAGCTGTTCATTTCTCTTCAACATTTCCTTCCCACTGTGTTTTTGTCGATCAAGCTCATTCTCCAGTTGTTTTACTTTCACTTTCCACTGCCTGACCGTCTCCTGCGCTCTTCCCTTGAATTCATCCTTCTTTTTCTCCGTAGTCTGTAAAGATGACTGAGTGTCCCGTAATTCATTACTAGCTTGCTGATATTGTTGGCTCGTTTCTCGAAATTTTTGAGTAACGTCCTCTAACTGAGCACTAAATGAATTTTTTTGCCTTTCACTATCGCTATATTTATCCGTCATTTCTTTAAGTTCCGTAATAAGTTTAGCATTAGTTTTATCACGATTTTCTAAATCTTTAACTAGAGTCTCTATATGATCAGATAATTGTGCTCGTTGTTTTTCACTTTTCTCATTGGTACGTCGTAAATCCTCAACTTCTGTCACTGCACTTACAGATCTTGTTAGTTGCGTTCTTAATTCGTGTATTTCTCTTTCTAAAGATTTACGCTCTGGGGCATATTCATTTCGTAACTGACGCTGTCTAAATTCTTCTTCCATGCGAGATTGATCCATCTGTATTTTGGATCTTTGTCTTTCGGCTTCGGCTTTTGACAGGTGATTTCGTAGATCATCCACTTGTTGTTGTAGAACCCGTCTACTTCCTTCACTTTCATCCAGTCTTTTTTTCACATGTTCTAAATTCAAGTCTAGTTTATGTTTAAAAGTTTCTGAAGCCAGGTATTCATGTCTTATAAGATCTTCACGACTTGGATGCCGATGCAAAGCTTGTTTAAGCTCTGTTGATATATTATGTAGACCATTATCAGCCTTTAAGTCAGTCTGTATCGCTTGAAGTCTTTTCTCTACTCTAGTGGCTAAGGGATCAGGAGACAGATTTCGAACATTGTCATTCAAGTCTCTCAAGGCTTTTCTGGTTTCTCGGTCATGCCTCTCTCTTCTTTCCATTTCTCTTTTGAAAGTTTCTTCGATTTTCATCTGTTCTGCAGATAAATCTCGAACAGTGCCATGTATCCCATGTAATTCTCGATGCATATCATCTGCAAATTTCACCTGAGATTTACGCTTTCTACTCCGACTGCGCGAGTTCTCTGAATCACTCAGGTAGTCTCGATCACGAAGTGAAGAATTTCTATACATTTCATCCTGTATCTGTTCATGAGTGTGATCCAATTCATCTCTTAGTCTATTGACTGCTGACTGACGTTCTTCACTAAGGTCTCTGTAAGTTCCCAGCATTTTATCCAAACTTCTTAAATTTTGTTTTGTGTCCCGTAAATTGGAATTGAGCTGATCAACTGTTCTTGGATCAACTGGAACATAATGGTCCCGTACCTCATAATAATCCTCACTTGTTCCAGTAGACATCTTGTTCTGAATTAGATCTACTGGCTTGTAGAACAATTGAAACTAATGTCAACAAACTAATAACCGCTTCAATCAAGCAGCCGGTTGCAAAAAAAAGGAAAGCTTTGATTTGTACTAAGAAAAGGCCAGTTCTAAATTCAGTGCAATATTAATTGCACATTCATTTATTTCTGCTAACTCTTCTTTAGTTCACATAACTGATTCCCTTTCCTTGCAATGCACTATTACTTCCACAATGCACAATACAAAATATCGTTGATGTGTCAATTGATTTAATTCATCTCTTCCGCCTAAAAATCTAACAAGTCCAAACAAATCATAACCAAAACAAATCGCAGCGCCCCCATCGACATTATTTGAAAAACTTCCGGTTTCTACAAAACATGTTTTACGGAAGATAATGTTATGATTTTAATCCAAATTTGCATTCATTCAATACTTCGTTTTAATAAAAACTTAAGAATAGCATATATTTAATCATCAAAATCAAACTTGTTCGCACAGTTGGGGATATAATTGATAATTATCCATAAAAAAATAAAATATGTCTCATGTTTAAGGAGGCTGCCATTTTGAAAATGGTGGACAAATATTTAGGATTTGAAAAACGTGCGGCCTCAGACTACCGAAAGATAGTTATGATAGTTATATAATTGTGAGATTCAATATAGAATCGTCTTTAAATTGCAAAATCTGATTTTGAAGTAGACTGATACAAATTAGAAGTTAACTGGTAAGGGAGATTAAACAGAGAAACGTTGAGAAATAATTTCGTTTCGCGTATTAATCCTGTGTTGAGCTGTAACTGTTCAGATTAAATGGAGAAAAGTATTGGCGGCCTTTTCCAAGGGTTTAGTTGGTCATTGGTAATACATTCTATTAACGATTTAGATATCAAGGCGATATACCTTTTAGGGTTTCTGTAAGTAGAAGAAAGATCGAAATCTTCCCTTTTACAGCCTGTTACTGGCGGCAGTGAATGGACAAGCAGTTGATGAGCCCAAATTGGCAATCAACTTAAAAATTCGGATTTTCACAAAATTATAAAAATAAGCCGATAGGTCTGATGCCAACCATCAAATTGCACAAAATTCAGGGTGAACTGGCAGTGAAATATCTTTTGTTCACTTTGGAAAGATACTTTATTACTATACAATCAGTATAATTTTTACTTTGGCTAGGTCTGTTTTCATTAGTACAGTTGGATCAGAATTCATTCCAATTCATTTTAATCCCTCTGGGATTTCCAGAATGGTTCCCCTCTTATTAGTGGTAGAGGATGTACATGTAGAGGGGGTGAATGCATATTAGATCACAGGGTCTGTCATTGAGTTAAGTGGTGTGGTTTCGATTCCCCACTTGTACGTTACAAGGAGGATTAGGAGCAGGGTTGCCTGCCCAACCTAGTGGGTTTTCCCTGGGTTCTTTTGGTTTCCTCCTTCAGCTAAAGACCTCTATGTGCAAGCAAATTATTGAAATAAAATTAAACCATGAGAGTTAGTCCTGAAATTACCTAGTTTGTGTCAAGTGGATGTTAAACCCTTTCTCTGTGTCTCTCTATTTATTCATTGATGAATCCCCACCAAGAACTCAAAATCAAATTGGTTTGGCCTCAGTACATTATTTACAAAGTTGAAAAATTGAGTATACTGTAGGGTCTGGCAATGAAAAGTTACATGTACTAAACTAGTCGTTCAGATGGTAAAAAAAATCCCCCTAAACTTAATTCCGATTATGTTCTAGTTTGTGGTGTTTAACGTCCACTTCCACCCAGAGTTTTATTGCAGACAAGCTGTTTATTTTTATTATCGTAATCTTAGCACACATGCAGGGGTCTTTCATGGATCTGTGGGAGGAAACGGTAGAAGACCCACAAGGTTGAGAGGCGCCCCTACATGTATCTCCAAGCCACACGCTCACACCAGGGATCAAAACCACAACTGCAAGCCAGAGGGGACTGTCCAACTACAGTTCAAAGCATGTCACACTAGGCAACTACATTGTAGGATATCCCAACCCCCCTTTCCTGGTTACACCACTGGAAGCAACTGACACAGGTTGAACTCTAAATTTAGGAAGAAAGTGAGCCATCAACATAAAAAAACAAACTTACACATACACTATGCAAGAAGCTGGTTTAAACAATATTTTATTTCTATTATAATGATTATTTACACTATGTAAGGAATCTGAGAACAAGTCGTAGCTTATAAATGTACAGTATAACTTCATCTCAATGTAAATTATGCATTTCAATAACATTGCTATAATGTACAAATTTCAAAGGTATATTACATGTATCTTACATTTTAACAAATAGATAAATAAGTAAATGAGTAAGTAAATATATAAACAAATACACATGTAATCTTCATTATTTATCATTAATCACTGTCGTCTGCCAATTACCTTTTCTATTCAAAGTGTTTGGTTAGTTTAAATACTTGTGAACTTGACTAAAAATCAATGCGCTGTACAAGTTACTTTCGTTGGGATCGCCATATAAGAACGCTTTTAATGGGAGGGTATTTAATGTTGAGAAATGCCGAGTCCAATAATTTGGGCAATGCAGAAAATAGTGATCGCTGTTCTCTTGAGTATGGCCACATCTGCATGTCGGATTATTGTTTTTAATGCATATTTCACATGCAAGAGCTTGACTTTGGCAGGTCTTTCTTTAGGTCTGAAATGTTACCTAAATTATTAATCAAACATTAATTAACTTATCCAGATCATAATCAACTCTCGATGCCATCGCTAGCCTGGGATATCTAGTAGATCGGAAAACATTTTTTAAAAAATAATTAAACATAAAGGTGGATAATCGAGACTTTGTTTTTTATCGTACCGACTTTATTAATGATGATTGAGGCTAGCAATTTGACTGAAATTTTCAGCATATTTTATTTACATTATCCATTTTTTAACCACCATGGCAAGGACTCTTTGTCTAGTTTCCCATATGGCCCCTTTAATTAATTATCTATTAATTATAAAGGATTGTTTATAACACATACATCCTGAGATTAACTAGAATTAGGATAATTAACAAATTTTACTAATCAGTATTGTCTTAACAACTAACAGATTACAATAGAATCAGTGTAAACTTTCGTGTTTAATATCTAAATATAGTAACATATCTAGTGTTAATGGTATAATCTTCATTGATTTCTGAAACCATTTGTTAATAAGGGCACCTGTTAATATCTTTATCTGAATTATTATCTATGGTAATACAGATGTGACAGACAGATGAATTCCTATATGAACAGTATAATCTGATTTACTGTATTATCTAGGGGGTTTAACATGGTGTGCATTATAGATAATAAGGTACATGTATATAGTCAGTGGCTTAGATGGGAAATTGGGATGGCCTTGTGGTCTAGAGTGCCGCGCTTCGACCTCTAGCTGGCCGGTCACCTCTGTCTTGCGACTGTGGTTTTGATCCCTGGTGTGAGCGTATGTGGCTTGGAGATATGAGCGCCTTCTCAACCTCGTGGGTTTACTCCGGGTACTCCAGTTTCCTCCCACAGGAAAGACCCCTTTGCATGCGCTAAGATCATGAAACAAAAAAAAGACAAATTGTCTGCGATATCTACTTCGGTGGAAGCAGACGTTAAAACACTAATAACAACATTCGATTCAGCATTTATATGAACAAGTAGTAGATTCGCCTATTCCAACCTGGGTACTACAGTTCTCTCCCACAGCTAAAGACCCCTATGCACTAACAAATTATTGAAATAAAATTGATCGATATGGTAGTCCAGAAAATACCTACATGTAATTTGTGTCATGCCCTCTCTCTCTCTCTCTCTCTCTCTCTCTCTCTCTCTCTCTGTCTCTCTCTCTCTCTCTCTTTCTGTGATTTATTATCCCATGTGAACAGTTTAGTTTGGAAATTGAGATTATTGTCTAATTGAAGTTCTTTATTAAAGAATTTGATTAAAAGATTTTTTAAAAAAGTAACAAAAGATATATTGCATTATTCTTAAATGTTGAAAGATTATTTTCAATAAAATTTACATACATGTATTGCAATAGATTTATTGAATGAAACGTACAGAATGTTCCTGCTACATTAAATTGACTTTTGTCTTTGCACCGACAAAATAATTTCTTTTTGAAATATCTTTTTTCAGAAATAGAAAATAATCAATTATTTATGGTATAAAAATTTGATTCAAAAGACAACTCATTATGGATATGGATTTAGAAGGGTTTGGAGATTTGCTCCAAAAAGCAGAACAGCTGACTGCAGAAATGGACAGTGGAAGTGACTTACCACATGTTGAGAGAAATCTACAACAGATATTGGAAGCAGGCAACAGACTTCTGTCGAAAACAGCTCCTGTTAGTCAAGATTCAACTGATGTGAAAGCGTATGTATTTATGATTCTCTTTGAAGTAAAGTCTCTTGAATAAAACCTTCCTGGCTCAGTGGGTAGGATGCTGGCTCGCAACCAGGAGGTCTCTGGTTCACTTCCAGTGTTTTCCAAGAAAGTTCCTCAGTGTTTTCTGACATTGTTTCCGCTTGTCAGTGGTGGTGCAAGACACAGGGTCTTGCTAGTACAGTGTCTAGTCACTCGGATGGCATGAAAAACTGAGGTCCTGTGTACACATCAGTGTGTACGTAAAAGAACCCTTGACAGTTGGAATTCGAAATAAGAGTAAGTTGTATCACCCAGGACCAGGCAAACCAGTCAGTGCAAAAAAGTAGAATGTTAAACCCCATTTCATTTCTTTGCAGTGTAAAGCCTTCCTTTTATACCTTTTGATGTCTTCCTTTGTCAAGGCACCAACACTGTAATCCAGGTATCATTAAATCTTGTGTATTTAGCACTAAATTCTTTCACATTCGTTTAATGTCAAGACTTTGTTTAAAAATTGTAAAAATCGCTTAAAATCACCAAAAATAAACAACCTAAATTGATTATTGATGTATAGGCCTAATGATTAATTTTTTTAACAGTGGTCAGGAAATTAAATGCTTGTAAATTGGACACTCATTAACAAAATTGAATGGTCAGCTTTAAACTGGACACAATTACAAATTAGATGATTTTTGGTGATTTTAAATGATTTTTCCAAATTTTTTAACAAAGATTTGATAATAAACGAATGTGAAAGAAATTAGTGCTAGATACACAACATTAAATGATACCCGCGTTACAGTGTAAGTATATCCAAAGCATTTATTAAGGACCTCCTTACGGTAAAGCTATTTGGGCTTTAAAATATATTATACATTTTCAAATTAAATGTTGTATTAATATTGAATTTTGATTATAAATCAATGTCATTCTTCTCATAGACTCTGTTTTGTTCCCATCTATAGGTCAATTTTATTGGGATCAAAAGGTTATGATGTTCCAAAGATATCAGAGAAACTAGAAGGTTTAAGTGCGATGAAAACTTTTGAACCGTTAGAACCAGTACGAGATACCGATATTCAGGTGAGTTAGTTAAAAGATGGTCGTTGAAGTTAATAAGACTTTAATTTGGGATGTTTTCAGCACCATCAATCTTATTAAAATGGCCTTCACTACATGAAGATCTGACAAGTTGTAGCGATAGGTCGCGTCAGAGGTCATACGGACAGCTTTTGACCCTATGACGTCAGACATTTGATTACGCAATCAGCATTGATGTTTCTATTGGATGACCCACAGTTCCGTGCAAGACACGCCTAAAACTCACTGTAACAGACCGTTTCATTGGCTAATCCCTCACACCATCAAGAACACGTCAATGATAACAACTCCTCCAGATCATGGTGTAGTAAAGACAAGTAAAATGAAATTTTGAACTATAAAAAACGAAACGAAATAAGATCTGTGTTTTAATCAGATTGCAGCACCATTGGTGAAGTTGGTCCACTCTCTAGAGTGTCACGACCTTTGATTGGATAATGCTGTAAAGGGAGATAACTACCTAAGAGTTTTGAAATTTCCGACTAAACTAGCAATGGCTAGATGTTGTAAAACTCATGGTCTTTGCTTCAGGAACATGGTGATTTTAATACCTTTGCTGCTTGTGAGGTTGGCTATGTTACACTCTGTTATCTTCAGAGTTTTGCTTTGCTATGTGTAACATTATTTTAGTGATAACAGTAGATCAGTTTAAGAAATATATGATTTATTTACATCGGAACATAATATAACACATCTACATACAAAACAATACAGAAACTTAAACTATTATACAGGAACTCATCAGTACGGTACATAACTATATTAAATCTACCATTCCGCCCCTCTGCCAAGGCAGCGGCTGAACTCGGGTGAGTCGATACGCCAGTCTCTCATCTGCGTCTCGCCTCTGCTCTAGTCGTCTGCCGTCCCTGCGTCTCTCCTCGTCTCTCTAGACGTCTGTCAGCAAACTTCTAGTTATATACCCTCTGACAATAGATAAGACTCATGATCATACATGCAATTGTCTCTTTATCACATCATAGATTTCTTACTGACCAGTGCGTATGCCTTTGAAGTCATGTGGAGCTTGTACACAGATCATATGTAAATGACATATTGGATCAATTACATTTTTAATGAGATCATAGTCAGTTCGTGCCTTAACAGAACTATATACAAAGTTGAAAAGTCAATATAATATATTATCAAAAGCAGCTTAGGTCAATAAGTCCTATGCACCTAAATGATCGTTCGGTTTGATGAAAGTTATAGAGTACTTTGTCACATGTGATGCCAACAATAGACATGGTCTCTAATTAAGTTCTCATCCCATGTCAAACGTTTTTACAACTGTTAAAGTCGGAGAATAACATGTACTTCCTTTACAACTTGAAAATCAATTCCATATCACAGCACTACAATTGACAAAACAACCATCCAGTGGTGTAATCGGACAGTGACTTGGCTTATGTTGACTCTTCAAATGTAATTATATTGCTTGTTTTTTATTAGTTTTTTTTTAAAGGGACAATAACACTCTTGCTGGCTTGACAGCTCCAAAAAATAAATATTAGCCTTATTCTAAGCTGTGGCAAGGAATTGGGTCGCCTGTCCAACCTCGTGGGTTTTCTCCGGTTCCTCCGGTTTCCTCTCACTGCTAAAGACCCCTACGCGCAAGCGAATTATGTAAATAATATTAAACCATATGTTAGTCCCGAAATGACCTAGTTTGTGTCGAGTGGACGTTAAACCCCATTTCTCTCTCTCTCTCTTATTCTAAGCACTAGAGGTTTAAGTGTCCTACCTGTTGTGTAAATTATCCATTACATCCTATTTTACTTGTCCAGAGGGTTCGAAAATATTTTTAAATCCAAGTCACACTTGAAAAGGTTTACGTTAGGATTTTCAAATCATTTAGTTGAATTTTTCCAATTTTTTAAATTAGGTGTGTTAAGATGAAATTTTTATCATCAATTAATTGAAATATTGTAAAATAGTACAATTTGTTGACCAGAATAAAGATAGGACATATTATTCAGTTACAACAAGAGTGGTATTGAGCCTTTAAGAAATCAAAGAGAAAAATATAATTACATGTCTATTTGTTTTACAGTTTTTTTTAGGAAATGAAAGACAGAATGTAATTACACATCTTGTTTTATTATAGGGTTTTTTAAGAAATGAAAGAGAAAATGCATTATTAGCTGTAATTGAACAAACTAGAAAACATGTAAGTAGAGACAATGTATTCATTTTAATTAGATATAATATGATACTAGAACTCCTTAGGAGTACAAGTTAAAAGCCTATATAAATTTGCTTCATATGTATGATGACCCCGATGTGTACTAACAATTAATATTAAAAAGTTTGGTCATGAAGTATAAATTCCGGTTTTGTTCTGGCGTGTTTCGGTATGTCACGTCACATCACGTCACGCTTTGTCAAGGAGTTCTGACGTGTTTTGGTATGTCACGTCACGTCACCCCTTGTCACGTCAACAATCAAATTAAACCATGAATCATTGAGTATAGTAAGATCCAATACCTATTAAAGTGGAAAAACCTGTCATTTTGAACTCTGGATAAAACAGGAAGTTAAACTTTTTAATATTAATTGTTAGTACACATCGGGGTCATCATACATATGAAGCAAATTTATATAAGCTTTTAGCTGGTTTTTGTATCATATCTTTAAAATTGTAATGTAATATATGATATTTTATGAATAAATATTGTTTAAACCATCATACATACAAAGGTAAAGGGTCATGGATAGGTAACGTCACCATCTAGATGGTGAAAGGTGAACAAACTTCAAAGTGAAACCGAAAGTAAACAAAATCGAAATTCAAAAATCGGCTCTTTTAGGATTGTTGCCATTTGGAGTATGTTCAATACTAAAAAAAAGTTTTCGAAAATCAGAATTAAAATGGCGACTGACGCTGAATATCGATTTGAATGTTTTTTGTAAAATCCAATATGGCGGCCAAACGGTTGAAAATGTTATCGACCAAGGTCCTTGAAAATATGCCGTTGATCCCCCTTGTCAGTGGTGCAGGATGGGGGGTTGGCAAGGACAGCTGTCTAGCTGTTCGTACAGTCCCTTGTACACATTGGCGTGCATATAAAAGATCCATTGGCAGTTGGAATCTGAAATAAGAGTAGGTCATATCACTGCTGCCTGGGCAAAATTTCACTCATAGCAGACTGTATGGCATATGCCCTTCATCATTTAGCACAGTAGGACGTTAAACCCCATTAAATCATAAGATTTGTCATTGAGTCGAGTATCGTGGTTCTGATTCCCTGCTTGTACATGACAAGGAATAAGGTTGCCTGTTCAACCTAGTGTCTTTTCTCCGGGTCCTCCGGTTTCCTTCTACTGCTAAAGACCCCCTATGCACAAGCAAATTATTGGAATAAAATTAAACCATATGTTAGTCCCAAATTGACCTAGTTTGTGTCAAGTGAATGTAAAACCCTATTTATCACCTCTATATTTTATCTAGATATGGTTTTTATTAGGTATATGAATGAGTTAGTAATAAATGAATGTTTATTTACATTTTATCTTGTTTCAGAATGTGCATCTTTGTTGCTAATAGAATGACTAATATTTGTATTTATTTGTAGACTTTTGAAGAAGTTGAAAGGAGACAATGGGAATCTTTAGAGAATGAATGGGAAAGAGAAAAACAGAAGATATTAAATACATTACTTGGCTCTGGTCAAGAAACTTTGGACTTCCAACCTGAAACAGAGGTATTAAACATACATTATGCAAGAGCTAAATCTGCCTATTGCAGGTCTTTCTTTAGGCCTGAAATGTTATATAAACTATTAATTAGACATTTATTATCAAGACAAGACCATAATCAACTCTCGATGTCATCACTAGTCTGCGATATTTATTGGATTATAATCCAATCTGCTGCTCAACGCTCATTCTTGATTAAATCAAAAAATGGATAATTGAGTCTGTTTTTTATCGTACCAACTTTAGTAATGATGATCGAGGCTAGGCCTAAAATTCAATCACTAAATTTTCGGTTCAGAGTGGAAATGAAATGAAATGGGGTTTAACGTCTTACTGTTCTGCTCCTAAACTGGGCTAATGAAGACGGGCATATGCCATACAGTGTACTATGAGGGAAATTTTGCCCGGGCAGCGACACTACGGCCTACTCTTACATCGAATTCCAACTGCCAAGGGATCTTTTACTTGCACGCCAATGTGTACACGGGACCTCGGTTTTTCGTCCCATCCGAACGACTAGACAGCTGACAGGTTCAGAGTGAATCTGTATGTAGTGGAAGTGATGGTGTTTTGATGGTTGACACATACTTTGTTTGCGCACAGGGGTCGTTAGCAGTGAGAGGAAAATGGAAGATCTGGAGAAAACCATACAGCTGGACAGGCAACCTTATTTCTTGTCACATACAAACTGGGAATTAAAACCACACCCCTTGACTCGATGACATTCAGCACCCCAACCCCTCTGTCTGTGGTCAAAATATAAAGAGAATCACTTATTCTGTACTTATAACTATTCTGTGTATATATAAATATATTTTTTCAGAGTTTTATTGGTGATTCTCTGTTTACACAAGGTAGAAGTAATTTAGATCATATTGAAACGGCTTATGCTAGACAGGTAAGCAGACCTTATATAAATTATTTGTGTTTGTAACCCAATGTGCCGTGGTGTTCATCAGGATTTTCCAGTGGGGTTCCCCTTTGTCAGTGAAATAAAATTGAACCATATGTTAGTCCCGATATGACCTAGTGAGAGAAGGAGGAATAAAACCTAGTTTAGTTGATATATTTATGTTACAGGTTTATGTATATAGTGATAGAAGAAGGAATAAAACCTAGTTTGATATTATTCTCTATTACAGGTTTATGTATACATGTATGATGAAAAAGTGAGAGAAGAAGGAATAAAACCTAGTTTATTTGATATATTCTGTTTTACAGGTTTATGTATATAATGAACAAGTGATAGAAGGAGGAATAAAACCTAGTTTAGTTGATATGTTCTATGATGTAGCTAAGAGTTTTGATGACAAGGTAAAGTATTATTATACACCTAACCCTACCCCCAACCCTGTCAGTCCATCTGTTTACACTTACTTGTCCAGGTTCAGGTTAGATCCCAGTGTTGGCCGATAAAGTTCCCAGTGATTTTCCAAGGTGGTGCAGGACTGAGTTTGGCAAAGACGGCGTCAAGTCATTCGGATGGGACAAAACGCTGAGGTCCTGTTTACACGCTGTCATTTGGAATTTGACTTACACCAGTATTCATTAGCCCATAGTATAGCTTGCATCATATTCCTGAAGCAATGGCCTAAGAAATCCCTCCCTGGCCATTGCTGGATTAACTTCTGATAATTGAGCTTTTTAAAAATGGCGAAAGTATTGTTCGTCTCCAAGCAATATTATTTACATTGTAGTCGTTTTGATAGCCTCGTTTGTCACATAATTAGTTTTCTGCAATATTCTGCTATGCACTGGTTAATTGGGCGTAATATATTTTGTGAGTCATGATGTAATGTTATGTAAACATATCTGTAGCTCTGTTTAAACCCGAATGATATTGTTACGCGGTTAGGTATTGGTTGTTAATCGGGCTATTGACCAGTCATAATTTAGAACAGAAATTTGCTTTCATTACAGCAGTGTTGAGTGGGATTAGGTCTAATCAAACGAAACGCTGCGAGGAGTATGAGCTTGCATATATTATTTACAAATAAATAAATACATCTTCAGGCTAAAGATGTATTCCCCTGCATTGTGATGTATTGTACATGTATCCTTGAAAACTTTTATAGAATGTAACAGATTTATGGGAAATGATGAAATGTATGATAGAGGTACCGTTTGGTCGAACTGGTGACAGTATTTCTAACACACGATCAGATCAACGAATACAGACCGCTTTTGTAGAAAATGCTAAGCATTATCTAGAACAAACGTAAGTTTTCTTTTTTAATGCCGCTAGCAAAAATTCAATTATTGAAATAAGCAAGAGTTTCTTCCCATTTTTAAGGTCTTGATTTCTTTTTTTACTGACCGACTAAGATTGAAATACGTCAGACATTGATTAATCAATCAGTGTTGATGTTTCTAGTGGTTTACCCACCAAGAACTCGTCGTAACAGACCGTTTCAATGGCTAATTCCTCACATCAAGAAGAACGTCTGTTTTATGATAACTCTTCCAGATCCTAGTGTAGTAAAGACAAGTAAAACAAAATTTTGAACTATAAAAAACGAAACTAAATAGGATTTGTATTTTAATCAGATTGCAAGAAAAATATCTTTTTTGTAAATTTTATTTTATTGATGTATATGCCAAACTCGTGACTTTTATTTTTTTTAGATATTTGAAATATATAACGACTACTATATATGGTAATTTACAACAAGCTCAGTTAGGAGGCGTTCCTGGAACTTACAACTTAGTTAAAAGTTTTCTGAAAGTACGACCACCAGTATCTATTAGAGAATCAGAGGTAAGATCTTGAATGACTTCTGAAATCTTTATATTCATCAAGGACCATGGCAAAATTTTAACATTTGCGTCCAATCTTTAACTGAGTGAGTGGGTTTAACGACACCGCAGATATAAGATGATACATGTAAATTAGATATCGGTTATTGAATATGTCAAAATGTTCTTACTCTGTCGGAGCAGGTGGGGTGAGCTCTGAAAGGTCTTACTCTGGTGGGGAAGATGGGGTGGGCTCTGCAAGGTCCTACTCTGTTGGGGCAGGTGGGGGTGAGCTCTGCAAGATCTTACACTGTCGAGGAAGGTCGAGTTGGGGTGGGCTCTGTGAGGTTTATCTGCGTGTAGACATTTGTTTTGGCTTTGATATATAATTACTTAAGATATGTTTTGTTATTTAAATATTTTCTGTTAGAAGTTTAGCCAGTGTGGACTGTGATGTATCATTATTTAAGATACATTTATTATTACAGGATTTTCTGTTAGAAGGTCAGCCAGTGTGGGCTGTCATATATTATTGTTTAAGATGTGGTGATTTAAAAGCTGCTGACGATGTCGTGAAAAAAGCTCAGTAAGTTGATGCTCAGTGAGTTTTTTTTCCCCAATTCAGAGATGAATTGAACATTGAATAAAATGAACATACTGATAAACAGAATCCTTTGAAAAATATACTGGAGATGGTATGAAATATATATACGTTGTTGTCCTTCTACCAAACATCTTCACTTTAAATTGCGGTAGGTGGATCACGGTGGCTAAGTGGGTACGACCTCCTGGCTTGCTAGCCTGGAGGTCGGGTGTTCAATCCCTGCATTGCCCGGAAAGTCCATCCAGATTTTCTGGCTGTCTAGTCATTTGGATGGTACGAAAAACTGAGGTCCTGTGTACACCTTTGTGCACGTAAAAGATCCCTTGACAGTTGGAATTTGATATAAGAGTAGGCTGTAGTGCCCCTGTCCAGGCAAAATTTTCCTCATAGTACACTGTATGGCGTATGCCCGTCTTCATTAGCCCAGTTCGAAGCAGAACCGTAGGACGTTAAACTCCATTTCATTTCATTTCATTTAAATTGGCGGGTTGGGTGGTTTAACGTTTTCACTTTAGATCATAAGGTCTGTCATTGAGTCAAGTGGCTAGATTTGAGCCCACACTTGTACGTGACAAAAATTAGAGTGACCTGCCCAACTTCATAGGTATTGGGGGGTTGGGTGGCCGAATGGTTAGCATGCGCACGCTGTATCATACAGTCTGTCATTGAGTCAACTTGTGGGGTTTCGATTCCCCGGTTGTACGTGACAAGGAGTAGAGTGACCTGCCCAACCATGTAGGTATTTTCCGGTTTCCTCCCACTACTAAAAAACACCTACGCGCAAGCAAATTATTGAAAAAAAATTGAACCATATGTTTGTCTAAAAATGACCTAGTTTGTGTCGAGTGGAGGTTTAAAACCCATCTCAATGACTCTCTCTCTCTCTCTCTCTCTCTCTCTCTTTTTCACTACGATAGATTATAAATGCAAAAATTGTGATTTCAAAATAATCTTTTCTTTTCTAGACATAAACTGGGAGATTTTGCAGCTTTTTATAGCGAATATGTTCAGTCTGATGGACACAGGTATATTATTATTATTCGATCACTTTCACAGCTCTGCCAACAGGCCTTTTAAAAAGTCTGTAGGCATGTTAACAATATATTTGAATTCCGCAAAAATTCAGTTTTCTGAATATAAAGATGAATGTTGTTGTTTCGAAGGCGTCAAGGGAAAACAAAATCTTTTGATAACAAAAACTGGCTAACATCTTATGTTGTTTTATGACAAATAACTACATGGCCATCTGCCTAAAAGTCTGTGTTTTCTCAAAGAACTTTAATTCCCTCCACAGCTAATTTGTTCTATGTTCACCCATGTTGAGATAAAGATCTATGCGATATGTGTGTGTTTGTTAGTTCCTTTGAATGGACAGTAAACCTGATGATGTTTTCCCATCTGGTGTCCATATATTTTCGGGGGGTTGGGTGACCAAATGGTTAATGTGCGTTTGATCACAACGTCTGTCATTGAGTCAGGTGGCATGGATTCGAATCACAGCTTGTACATGACAAGGTGTAAGGTCACCTGTCCAACATCGTGATGGGGTTTCCGGGTCCTCCGGTTTCCTCCACTGCTATAGACCCCTACGCACTGGCAAATTATTGAAATAAAATTGAACCATATGTTAGTCCCGAATAACCTAATTCATGTCAACTGGGCATTAAACTCTTATGTCATCTGATATACCTGTTACAGATTGTCGCCTGGTAACGATACTAAGATTAAACTTCAATACAGAAGAATAGTAAAAAGTAGTACAGATCCATATAAAAGGTATGATGTTCAATCTGATTAAAACACAGATCCTGTTTTGTTTTTTATACTTCAAAATTTTGAGGTTACTTGTCTTTGCTACAGTAGGATCTGGAATTGTTATCATTGATGTGTTCTGGATAATGTGACGGTTTAGGCAATGAGTTACTTGTCTTCATAACACTAGGATCTGGAAGAGTTATTATATAACAGGAGTTCTGCTTGATGTGATGAATTAGCAAATGAAACGGTCGGTAATGGCGAGTTCTTTACATGCTATGGACAGAACTGTGGATAAATCGCTAGATACATCAACGCTGATTAATTAATCAATGTCTGACGTCATAGGATCAAAAGCCGCACGTATGACCCCTGACACGACCTCCCTCTACAACTAGTCAGATCTTAATGTAGTAAGAGGACATTGAAAGTATAAAAAAAAAACAAATGAAAAATAGATCTGTATTTTAATCAGATTGATTGCTGTCCAATTTATTTTAATATCTAAAAACATTTCAAGAATAAAACCTTGGGGAATTACCAAATTTGATTGTATTTTCTTAAAGGTGTGATGCATCATTTAACACTATAGAATTCAATTACAATATTGCGACAGTTTAATCTCTAAAAGGAATATCAGTCCAATTCCATTCAGTATTTACAAAGTTATGATAAATTGAAATTTTATCAATCTATGCTGCTCACTAGTAACAAGACGCCAACTTATTTTACTGGCAACAGAGAAACCTGATGGGCCTAGTTTATATCTGATTGAATCAAAACGGAAGATTATCTTCCTACAACTCAGGTATCATTTAGTTGTGTTGTTTTAGATTAGTTAATTAGTGTTGGGTTTATAACTGTTTAGTTTCTACAGCAGTGTTGAGTAATTAATTAGTCTGTCAATAACTCAACACCTTTTGAGAAATATAATATTACTGTATATTGTAATCTGTATTTACTGGGCCATATATTGTAATCTGTATTTACAGGGCCATCGATTGTAATCTGTATTTGCAGGGCTGTATATTGTAAAATGTATTTCTAGAGCAGTGTTGGGTAATTAATTAGTCTGTTGATTACTCACACCTTTTGAGAAAACTGAACAGTTATAAACTCAACACTCATTACAAGTATCTAATCTAAACAGACCCTTTAAACAACAACAGTAGAAACCAAATGGTTTTCTATGTTTCTCAGTGGATTTGAACAGTTGTCTAACAATGGCTTGAAACTAAACATTAAATACAGAAACTCCTGTTAAAACAACACAACTAAATGATACCTGAGTTGTAGTGTCTAACGTTGGTATTTTGATTTTGTTTTCTTAATGCAAATGATGCATCAAACCTTTAAATAACTGTGATCGATCGATTGATTGTATTCTCTTAAGTCATTGTAATAGACAAGGTGAGTTTTACCTCGAGTCTTACTGTCTGTTTGTTGGATGATATAGAGGTATCCGACGAGCATATTCAATTGATTGTCAGTGTCTAACATCTTTAGTTTCTATCGATTGACAATATGTTACACTTGAGAATGTGTGAAAAAAGCTGTTGATGTTATTTTTTTAGCCCATTTACTTCTCAATATATTTATATCTTGTCACAGAAGATAACATACTGGGTCAGTTTGCTCTCATGTGATTTTACTCCATAGACATTTCCTTCCATGATATATTGTAACATGTATTTACCAGGCTGTATATTGTAATCTATATTTACAAGGCTGTATATTGTAATCTATATTTACAAGGCTGTATATTGTAATCTATATTTACAAGGCTGTATATTGTAATCTATACTGTATTTACAGGACTGTTTATTGTAATTTATGTGACTATATTGTAATCTGTATAATTTACAGGGCCATATATTGTAATCTGTATTTTCAGGACTATATATTGTAATCTGTATTTGCAGGGCTGTACATTGTAATCTATATTTACAGGACTGTGTATTGTAACATGTATTTACAGGGCTGTGTATTGTGTAGTTGGACAATGTGATCCAAATGAAGATCATACAGAAGTCTCTGATAAAATAGATGATTATTTATGGTTGAAATTATCACAAGTACAATTTGAACCTGATGAGACAGGACAAGAACAGTTTACTTTACAGAAATTACAAACATTATTATATGAAGATTTTGGTAAGTGACTTCTTTAAACATGCATTATGCAAGAGGTAGATCTGCCTATTGTAGGGTGTTTGGATGGCCGACGTGCGCTGTATCATACGGTCTGTCATTGAGTCAACTGGCGGGGTTTCGATTCCCGCTGGAGATAATCTCCCAGTTTGATTCAATGAGATTTAAACTAGGCCAATCAGGTTTCTCCACCACCAGTTAAAGATGTTGGCATCTTGTTACTAGTGAGCAGCATAGATTGATGAAATTACAATTTATCAAGCCATTAACCCCCTCATTTTACTCATGGACCATCTAAAGGTTACAATTTTTGTTTGAATTTAAAAACCGTTCATATATATCACCATTATACCATACAGTAAGTGTGGTTGAGTTCATATTTTGAACATTGAACCAATTTTAGAAGCCACAATGTTTTTCCAATTTAGATGAATCTTAATCTATTTGTTAGGGATCAAAAATTCTTGGATAATTTCAATTTTGGTCCACATCAGACCTTCTGTTCTGGAGTTATGCCCGTTGCCTTTTACTCAAAATGTGAAATATGTACAAAGTTTGTGGATCCTCCAGAAACAATAATTTTGTTTCATTCAGATCGAACTTGAAGTATATGTTAGGGATCAAAACTTCTTGGATGAGTTCAACTTTGGCCCGTATCAGACCTTCCATTCTAGAGTTATAGCCTGATCTTTTTACTCAAAATGTGCAATATGTAGAAGTTTGTAGGGCCTCCGGGAGAATTTTTGTCCCACTGAGATAAAATTTAACAAATATGTTAAGTATTGAAAGATCTTGAATGAGTTTGAATTTGGTGTGCATCTAAACAGCTTTATTTTTTTTTCAAATTCGATGTGAAGCATTTGGACAATGAGAGAATAAGGTCTATTGATTTTTCCCTGTTTCCCTTCCATTTCTTGTAAAATATAGACGTATCTTGTATGGCAGTCGCTCGTTTATATCTCTTATCATTGTTCTTTGAATGGCATTTAGTAATTGGAACATAGTTAAATCTAAATAAAACATTATGGATAACAATTACTATGGTTTATTTCACTGCGACGTTTCAACAAGATTTCAAAAGTCGTTATCAAGCATATAACACATGTTTGACAACGACTTGTGAAATAAACCATAGTAATTGTTATTCCATAAATGTTTTATTTTACTCTGATCATTGTCTTTGTTGTGTTAATTAATTCATGTATTGTTTACATTTCCAGGTGAAAATCATTTTAATGGATATCAACAACCATTCATGTATTTCCAAGTTTTAGTTTTAACCAGTCAATTTGAGGCAGCCATTGAATTTTTATCACGTCTGGAAAGATTACGGTGTCATGCTGTTCATGCTGCTTTAGTTTTATTCGAACTAAAGCTACTTCTTCTGCCGTCCAATCCACAGTCTCAATTATGTAAGTATTTCAACATGTTTATTTGATTATTTTGGGGGTTGGATGGCCGATTGGTTAGCACGTGCGCACTGTATCATAAAGCCTGTCATTGAGTCAACTGAGGTGGTTGGATGGCTGAATAGTTAGCATGTGGACACTGTATCATAAGGTCTGTCATTGAGTCAACTGGCTTGGTTTCGAATCCCCGGTTGTACGTGATAAGGAGTAGGGTCGCCTGTCCAACCTCGTTGGTTTTCTCCGGGTCCTCCGGTTTCCTCCCACTGCTAAAGACCCCTACGCACAAGCGAATTATTGAAATAAAATTAAACCATATGTTAGTCCCGAAATGACCTAGTTTGTGTCCAGTGGATGTTAAACCCCATTTCTCTCTCTCTCTTATATTTGATTATTTATTTTATAGAAGCACAATCTGATTAAAATACAGATCTATATTTCATTTTGTTTTTTTATACTTTCGATGGCCTACACTACTTGAAGATCTGACCGGTTGTAGTGGAAGGTCATGTCAGAGGTCATACAAATGGCTTTTGACCCTCTGATGTCATACATTTGATTAACCAATCAGGATTAATGTTTCTGGTGGGTTACTCACAGTTCCATGCACAGTTGATGGCCCAGTGAGTAATGCTGTGACTCCTTTACCAAGTCTTGGGTTCGCTCACAGTGCTATCCCCTTGTCAGTGGTCAAAGAAATATGTCTAGTCATTCGGATTGAACAAAAAAACAAGCTTCCATGTACGTACATTGGCGTGCATGTAAAAGAACCCTTGACAGTTGGAATTCGAAAAAAGAGTAGGCCACATCACACAGTATGGCTTACACTCATCTTCATTAGCCCAGTCGGTGCAGAAAAGTAGGCCGTTAAACCCCATTTCATTTCATTTCTTTCCCTGTGTTTTTTTTTTATCAAATCTGATTTGGCTATATCTTTGCTATATGATTGTATAACAGTAACTAAAGATGTTAGTGATCAGCCACCAATGAGAAGAATAAATCTAGCACGTTTAATTATGATGTATACAAGAAAATTTGAAGCTACCGATTCTAGAGAGGCTTTGCAATATTTCTATTTCCTAAGGTAGGTATAAAGGCATCAGAATTTGTAATTAAATTAACAACTTTGAATTTGGGCGTAAATTAGCTACTTTGACTTAAATTAAATACCTTGAATTTGGACTTAAATAAAATACCTTGAATTTGGACTTAAATTAAATACCTTGAATTTGGACTTAAATTAAATACCTTGTATTTGGACTTAAATACCTCAAATTTGGACTTAAATTAAGTACTTTGAAAGTGAACTTAAATTAAATACCTCAAATTTGGACTTAAATTAACTTCTTTAAAACTGGACTTAAATTAACTACTTTGAAATTGAACTTAAATTAACTACTATGAATTTGTTCATGATGTGAAACATTTTTTTATATACTTATATAGAGATCTAAAAACTGCCCAAGGAGAGAATTTATTTATATCCTGTGTTAGTGAATTGGTTTTAGAAACTAGAGAGGTTAGTTGTATATTATATCTTATATAGACCTCAGTTTGTATTAATAGTAATTGCAGGGGGACCACACACTGTAACATTGGTATCGTTTAGAACAGGGTTTTTAGCGCTAGAAAGTAAGCATATAGTTTACTTTCAAAACGTCGTTCAATAATTGATAAAAATCGTTTGAGAATTACAAAAATGGTTTAGTTAGTACTATGGCTCAGTTTAATGGTAACCGGTTTAGTTTCTCCGAGAGGCGTTTATAAATGGACGTCCCATTCACTTGTCTACCGCGTTTACTTATTAGACAAGCCTTTTAATTTCCTGAGATACATGTATAAATCAACACACGGTTAATTTATCTACAGTGTTTAACTATTAGATGAACCTTTTAATTTTCTGCGAGGCGTTGATCCGATCTGTTTAGGTTCATTTTGGCAGTAAACAGGATGTTAAACCCCATTTCTCTTTCGCTTACCTTCTGCGTACTTGAATGTGGGCAGTGCAGGTATTTCAATCAAGACACATATAATGCTTGGCTGTTAAGATTATTTTAATGTTTAAAGAATAAAACTATTATATTTTATTTTAGTTTTGGGTTAATGATAATATGTTATCTTTTAGTTTGAGTCAGTTATAATGTTTCATATTTTAGTTTGAGTTAATTATGATAGATTATCTTTTAGTTTTGAGTTATAATATTCTAACTTTTAGTTTGAGTTAATTAGGATATTCTGTCTGGTAATTTGAGTTAATTATAATATTCTATCTTTTAGTTTGAGTTAATTATAATATTTTATTTTTTAGTTTGAGTTAATTATAATATTTTATCTGATAATTTGAGTTAATTATAATCTTCTTACTTTTAGTTTGAGTTAATTATAATATTTTATCGGATAATTTGAGTTAATTATAATATTCTAACTTTTAGTTTCAGTTAATTATAATATTTTTGATAATTTGAGTTAATTATAATATTTTGTCTTTTAGTTTTGGTTAATTATAATATTTTATTTTTTAGTTTCAGTTAATTATAATATTTTATCTTTTAGTTTGAGATGTTATTAGGTAAATTAGAGCGAGATGGTAGTCGAAGGGCAGGTGCAATTGATAAATTTAATCGTGATACACACAAGATTATAAAACATGTAGCAGAAGATACAGAATCTAAAGGTTTATTTGAAGATGCTATAAGACTTTATGATTTATCAAAGGTATGGTACAAAATAGTATTATCATTACACAGTAATCTGGGTATCATTTAATCTTGTGTATTTAGCATTAATTTCTGTCACATTCATTCAATATCAAATCCTTGTTTAAAAATTCACAAGAATTGTTTCAAATCACCAAAACTTTGTTCACACAAAGCCTTCAAGAGACTAGATATTTCATTTGTTAACATACCAGAATTCTCCTGAACAATTTGACACCCCAACAAATTATTTTCAAGATAAGTATCCTAATTTATTGTTAATTTATGTTTTCTTTCATATTTAGAATCATGATAAAGCTCTATCATTGATGAATAAATTACTGAGTCAAGTTGTACCTCAACCAACTTCACCACAGAGTAATAGAGATAGATTAAGAAACATGGCAGTAGGAATGGCAGAAAGGTATGTTTCATTTTAATTACCACAGTCAGATATGATACCTAAAAAAATTTTGTTATGACTTGACTTTTATATTTAAACACATTCGAACAAAAGAGGCGAGTACCTGTCAAAAGGTTGGTTATGAATTAAGATTAATTTTTAAACGATTCTGAAAAAGTATTTATCTGGTGGTTATTTCCAATGAAAGCACAGCAATTTTGTTATATATTAAAATAGAAATATTCAATTTCACTAGAAAATAATTGATTCCCAGAAAAACACGCATGTGGGGGTGGCAGGCTCAATAAAGTATATTTTGTTATTACAAATTAAGTGTATATTATTACATTAAGGTATATTATTACATTAAAGTGTATATATATTATTATTACAATAAAATATATATTATATTATTATTACAATAAAATATATATTATATTATTATTACAATAAAATATATATTATATAACAATATAGCATATATTAATATTACAATAAAATATATATTACCATTACAATAAAGTATATATTACCATTACAATAAAGTATATATTTATGTTACATTAAATTATATATTTAATATGTATTATATTCAAGTAAAGTATGTATTACAATGAAGTATATATTGTTATTAAAATATTATATGACATTAACGTACATATTGCTTTTACAATAAAGTATATATTATTTTATAATGTCCCGATATATAATATTACATTAATATAATATTATTAATATTATTACATTAATATAATATTATTACATTAATTTAATATTATTACATTAATATAATATTATTACATTAAAATATATATTAGTATAACAATAAAGTATATATTATCATTACATTAAACTATGTATTATGTATGGTTTAATGGTCAAGTGCGAGACATTAAGTAATATATTGATATGCTATATCCATATATTACGCAATGTCTTGCACTTGACCATTAAACAACTTAAAATACAGACACTATCCAGCACGTGCATTTCAATGAAATACGTCATGCGGGTCCAATTTTTCAACTAGTATAAATAATGTATGCTTGGCACATTGCCGGTACCATTATTTGAAATAATGGTCCGTCAACATGAACATCAAAGGATGATGTCACATCTGTATTTTAAATTTTGATAAAGTATACATATTATTGTTTTATATATTTATTTTGTAGATATCGTAAGACAGATAATACGGCTAGTACAGCTAATACCAGTACATTCTATTTACTACTTGATTTAATCACCTTTTTTGATCTCTATCATTCTGGTACAATAGATCAAGCTTATGAAGTAAGTGACTTTTATCTTTTAAATTTAGCAGTGGACACGCTAGCTGAATCATTTCGCTAAATTGGAGCCGAATAAGTGGACACACCAGTCTCTTTTCATGTCACATGATTAAGCATGGTAGTGACCATGTCTTTAAACAATCACATGACTTCTCGATATCAGTGGTGATTGGCTAATGAAGCGAATACACTAGAGGAATATAATTCCCCCGAATATATTAGTGGCAATTGATTTGGCCAAATAAGTCTGCTAGTGTGTCCACAGCTTTAGGGAGGTGGGGGGTTGGCATGCGGCCGAAAAGTTTAACATGTGCCCTTTATGTCATAAGGTGTATTATTGGGTCAAATGATGTGCATGGTTTGATTCTCCACGTGACAAGGAGTACGGTAGCCAGTTCAACCTCATGGGTTTCCTCCCACTGCTAAAGATTCCTCCGGGCGAGCAAATTGTTGAAATAAGTCCCAAAATGACCTAGTTTGTATTAAAAACCATATTTAAAGCATATACCTTTTAAATATTGCAAACTTGATATATTAATTAGTTTATAATTTCACCAACCTACTTGTAGGTGGTCTATGTTATGTTTTATCGTTATTTAAAGCAGCATTGTGGGAGATAAGATAAACAGCTGACAGTTCTCACTATAATAGTTAAAAACTAGATAATGTAAAGGAGATTTGCTGAAAATTTCAGTCCAATTGATCCACTCTGAACCGAGGTTTTAGCGATTGATTTTCCGGTCTAGCCTCGATCATCATTACTAAAGTCAGTATGATAAAAAACATAGTCTCAATTATCCATTTCATGATTAAAGCACGAATAAAAGTTGAGCAGCAAATCGGATCCTAATCGAGTAACGATCGCAGGCTAGCGATGACATCGAGAGTTGATTATGGTCTGGATAAGTTAATTAATGTCTAATTAATAATTTAGATAACTTTTCAGGCCTAAAGAAAGACATGAAATAGGGAGATTTAGCTCTTGCATAATGTATGTTTAATTAGTATTTTTGTTTTGTTGAAGGTGTTGAAGCAATTAAAACTGTTACCACTGACATCAGATGAAGTTGAACATCGTGTTAACACATTTAGACATTATACAGATGAGGTAAAACATAATATCTTCTTCTCTTGTTTAGGGGATCACGTGGCTAAGTGGGTAAGACGCTGGCTCGCTAGCCTGGAGGTCGGTTGTTCGATCCCGGCATTGTCCGAGAAAGTTCATCCCAATTTTCCGGCGTGGTTTCCCCTTGTCAGTGATGCCGGACGGAGGGCCTGACAAGGACAGCTGTCTAGTCGTTCGGATGGGACGAAAAACCGAGGTCCCGTGTACACATTGACATGCACGTGAAAGATCCCTTAACAGTTGGAATTCGATATAAGAGTAGGCTGTAGCGCCGCTGCCCGGGCAAAATTTCCCTCATAGCACACTGTATGGCGTATGCCCGTCTTCATTAGCCCAGGTTTGGAGCAGAACAGTAGAACGTAAAAACCCCATTTCATTTCCTTTCATTTCTCTTGTTTAATCAGAAACTGTTGGTGGCATGTGATAATCCATCTTCATTAGAAACGTCCGTGCAGTAGTATTTTAAGCCCCCAGATATTTTGGCAAGTTTCTTCATAAGTTCACTAGTTTGGCGCCGTAAATAGACTCGTCTTCGGTATTTTATCAATTTAATTTTGATGATATCATTTATTTCTTCGAATCAGTCAAACCATGTTCTTCAAAAGTAAAAAAAATACAGACTCCTTTAATCAGGTAAATAACTCAAGTGTTTTAAGTTGTGCACACCCTGATTATCTATTTTTGCACTATTATAGAGAGAACGGCCAGCTCTTTATCTAAATCTCCCATAATATGTACCTATAATTAAAAATTTGTAGTATGTATGATGATTGATAGTGTACATCCTCGTGTTATAATTTAATTATACTTAGTAAAAGTGAAATGTTTGTGTGTGTTATTAATTGAATAATGTGTAATATGATGATTGATAGCTACGTACACCCTAGTGTGTTTAATATTAAAATTTAAGATAAAGGTATATCTTGTCAGCATGCAGACATAACGGCATATTTATCTTATAAAACACATTTGTTGATATTTGTTATAACAGATGTATGTTTAAAAGAGTCTTTATTATCTGATATCATCCAGCATGCGTCAAATTCTAATTTAGGATAAAGGATTTTTTAAAAATGAAATGAAATGGGGTTTATGATATGATCCAGCAAGTATCAAATTCTAATTTAGGATAAAGGATTTCTTAGAAATGAAATGGGGTTTAACGTCCTACTGTTCTGCTCCTATGGATTTCTTAGAATATTATAGATTCATTTAGGAGGTAATTTAAACACATCCTGTTTTCAAAGTTAGCAAACCACAGTTTTTAAAGATACATTATGGGAGATTCGATAACGAGTTGGCAGTTTGCACTATAATAGTTAAAAACTAGATAATGTAATGGCAATTTGCTGAAATTTTATTCAAATTGATACACTATGAACCGAGAACTAAGCAATTGAAATTTCTGCCTGGCCTCAATCATCATTACTAAAGTCAGTACGAAAATAGCATAGTCTCGATTATCCATTTAAGCGTTAAATCGTGAAGGAAAGTTATGTAGTAAATTGGCTCATAATCCACTAATGATTACAGGCTAGTGATGCCAACTAGAGTTGATTATGGTCTGGATAGGTTAATTAATGTCTAATTAATAATTTAGGATAACATTTCAGGCCTAAAGAAAGACCTGCAATAGACAGATTTAGCTCTTGCATTATGTATGTTTAACTAAGGCCACACCAAAAAGAACTTATTCTGATTCTCATACAATCACACAAAATTATAAATTTAAAATTTATTTTACTCTTAAGCATGCATTATGCAAGAGCAAAATCTGCTTATTACAAGTCTTTCTTTAGGCCTGAAATGTTATCTAAATTATCAATTAGACATTAATTAACTTTATATCCAGGCCATAATAAACTCTCGATGTCAAGGCTAGCCTTCGATGTAGGCTGGATTAGATTCCTATATGCCGCTAACGGCCAAAGATAATTAAATCAGAAAAAGTGGATAATCAAGACTATGCTGTTTATATTAATGATTTTAGTAATGATAACCGAGACTATGCAAAAATTTCACCGGCTTCTTTCTCGGCTCATAGTGGATCAATTTGACTGAAATTTTCAGCAAATTACCATTACACTATCTAGTTTTTAACTATTATAGCGAGAACTGTCATCTCTTTATCTTATCTCCCATAATGTATCTTTAATAAGAAAAAATATGTAAGATTTTAAAATATCGGCCAAATGATTCTGTGACTTCTTCTAGATTAACTCTTGTGAAAATGTTTTCAAATCACATGGGTAAGACACTGGCTCGCTAGCTGGGAGGTCGGTGTTCGATCCCTGCATTGGCCGAGAATGTTCATCCAGATTTTCAGACGTGGTTTCCCCTTGTCAGTGATGCAGGATGGAGGGCCTGACAAGGACAGCTGTCTAGTCGTTCGGATGGGACGAAAAAACTGAGGTCCCGTGTACATATTGGCGTGCACGTAAAAGATCCCTTTGCAGTTGGAATTCGATATAAGAGTAGGTCGTAGCGCCGCTGCCCGGGCAAAATTTCCCTCATAGCACACTGTATGGCGTATGACCGTCTTCATTAGCCCAGTTTAGGAGCAGAACAGTAGGACGTTAAACCCCATTTCATTCAGTTTCATTTCATTTCATTTCTCAAAGTTATCAGTTATAGTTCCTGGGAAAGATACTTAGGTATTTTGATCGTAAAAAATGACAGATTGACAGCAAAATATTGTCGTCATTGTGGAATAACAAATTAACTATTGATTATCCAGTGCTGTTCGTAATTGTCAATAGTGTTTCCCATGGTTACATACTTGATAGCCGAGGCTAGGGTTCAGTTCCTCTATTCAAGAAATGCTTAATAGAGTTAATTCCCTTGATTGTGGGAAATACGAACATGCAGAATGGATAATTTTGTTTTAATTTCTTTCTTTCTTTTTTTAAAATAACGTGTGACGCAGCCCATTTGTGATGGATGACCCGGAAGTATCTGAGAATTCAGATTTTGGCTACAATTTAAATGTTATATCTTTCAATAAGTATTTTGATATCTGCCAAACGGAATTAAAAGAGAAACTGGTGTGGTAGAATTAAAGTGATAAGAGTGTTTATTATAAAATTTTTAAAATTTTCAGATAAGAAGATGTTTGCCAGATATTTTATTAGCAGCAATGAATACATTACACAGTAAATATAAGGATCTAAGGTATGCTGTTAATATGTTACATAATAAAGTTAAAGATGTTGGGGGTGGGGAGGGGGGCAGGGTTCCCGCGGTCCTTGAAAATCCTTGAATATCCTTAAATTTAAAATTTCATTTTCAAGGTCTTGAATATCCTTGAATTTCGCGGAAATAGGAAAATATCCTTGAATTTCGCGGAAATAGGAAAATATCCTTGAATTTCACTTGAGATCCTTAATTTTGTTTCAAATTGGTAATAATAGTAAGTTGATATGAAAATCCCGTTCAGATTAGAAGTTATGCTATTTATACTAAACAATAACTCTGACGTATTCCTGTCAATCAACTGATCTAAATAAATAGCTGTGTTTTGTCACGTAATAACAAGATAAGCCAATGACATTTACCGTTAGGCAACCAAATACTCTCACGTGACCCCATTGTCCAATTAACATATTAGAAGCCACTACACTGACTAATCAATATCGGTATTAGAAATTGCATTAAACTATGAATATATTAATAATCGGCAAATTAACGTCAATAAACTGTACTACTTTTTATTCGTACTTTAGTTTAATCAGTCGAAAAGGGAAATACCTCTGTTTTAAAAATTGCGGGAGTTTTTCTGGTGTGCTGAAAGTCGATCTGTAATAATAAAAAAACAGTTTATGTCTTCAATTCCTTTTAAATATGAGATTATAACGATAGTTGGTAACGTTTTGGTTATTTTTAAGATGAAAAATTGTAACTTTAGGCTAAAAAATGTCCTTGAAAATCCTTGAATTTGACGTATATTTATCCTTGAATATCCTTGAAAAGTGTTCGACAATGCCGCATGAACCCGGGGGGGGGGGGGGGCGGGCAATTGAGAGAATTCAAAACCATAATGTTAATTCAAATATCCCCATTGTCGTATGTATGCTATTTTACAGACTTGCAATGTTCAATTTTATTTCAATAATTCGCTTGCGCATAGGGGTCTTTAGCAGTGGGAGGAAACCGGAGGAGAGGCGACCCTACTCCTTGTCACTTACAACCGGGGAATCTAAACCACGCCAGTTGACTCAATGACAGACCTTATGATACAGCACACACATGCTAACTGTTCGGCCATGCCAACTCCCCTGTGTGTCAAGAATAACCAAATCACCACATATATTTTGCTGTATGCACCCCAAAATGGTTGATTTTTACGGTGGAATAAATATTTAGTTAAGAAATTTGTTGAAATAATAAAAGATTTTCTTTGATATTGTAGGAATACAAGTATACATAGTCCAGTACCTGGTCGAGGGATTCAATCAAATGATGGCGGAAAGGAAACGGTGAGTATTATGATATTAAGAAAAAAGAACAAATTTTGAAATTTTCATAACAACATACAGTCAATATTTATATCCCATTGACACCACTCAATCAAATCATGGCGGAAAGGAAACAGTATGATAATATTAAAGAAACATTATGGGAGATTCGATAATGGGTTGGCAGTTCTCACTATAATAGTTCAAAACTAGATAATGTAAAAGCATTTTGCTGAAAATTTCATTCAAATTGATCCACTATGAACCAATAACTAAGCAATTGAAATTTACGCCTAGCCTTGATTATCATTACTAAAGTCAGTACAATAAATAACATTGTCTCAATTATCCATTTAATTGTTAAATCGTGAAAGAAAGTTATGCAGTAAATCGACTCATAATCCACTAAAAATTGCAGGCTAGCGATGCCATCTAGAGTTGATTATGGTCTGGATAGGTTAATTAATGTTTAATTAATAATTAAGATAACATTTCAGGCCTAAAGAAAGGCCTGCAATAGACCGATTTAGCTCTTGCATAATGTATGTTTAATTAAAAACAAATTTTGAAATTTTCATAACAACATCTGCTCATTAACTCGGTGAGAAAGGAAACAGTGAGTAGGCCTATTATAATATTTAGTCAAGCATCCACTCTGTACAATTTTCATGTCTTGTAATAAATATTGTCATGTAGAATATTAAACCATTTGTTTGTGTTTTTTATTTTCCAGTATTTGGATTATTTAAGAAATCAAGCTCGTGTACTGATTATGTTTGCTGGCATGTTACCATATCGTCTACCAGGAGATACCAATTCCAGATTAGTTCAAATTGAAGTTCTCATGAACTAAATTTATTTTTATTGTAAAGTACATTGACTACTTTAGATGACCAATTCCAGATTATTTCAAATTGAAGTTATCATGAACTAATTGATTTTATTATAAAGTACATTGACTACTTTAGATGACCATGTTCCTGGATTAGTTCAAATTGAAGTACTCAATAACTAGATTTATTTTATTGTAAAGTACTTTGACTACTTTAGCTGAACATGCTCCTGGACTATACTTCTTCAAACTGATGTATTGATGTACACTTGGCCTTGTTGATTTCAAAGATTGCATTCTGCATGCAGAGAACTATTTAGTTTGAGAATAGATCTCTGCCTTGAATGGCTGACATTTTCTAAAATGAGTAGCCTATTTTGTAATAAAGTGCTAATCCGTTTTACATCTTTCATATACACAAAGACTAAATTGTCGATTTTATTAAATGGAAGCAGAGTAAACACTTCTCAAAGTGAAGTATACTTAATGTTTTCGACTAAAATCATTGATTATGTTGGTCAATTAGCTTGGTGACTGTTCTCAAGTGGAGCTAATCATAGACAGACAGCATTACCTTTGTATGCAAATGATGTACTCAATCATGGTGATTCCATTTTCAAATTGATACACAGGATTGTATGAGCAGATGAAAGTGCGTTGTTGTACTAATACCGGTTTTGATTCAAGAAGAAGTACTTGTAATGAATTATCCTCCTTGTTATTGTTTTTGTTTTGTTCATTTGTAAATAATCTAATAAAATCATGTATAGAGCATCAACACCATAAAAAGTGACCTCCTGTGAAAATGACTTATCCCCAAAAATGAAATAAGTGACACTGTAACCCAGGTATCGTTTAATCTTGTGTATTTAGCACTAATTTCTTTCACATCCATTCAATATCAAATCTTTCTTTAAAAATTCGTAAAAATCATTTAAAATCACCAAAAATCATCTATTTGTACTAGTGTCCAGTTTAAAGCTGATTGATTAATTTTTATAATGAGTGTCCAATTTTCAAGTATTTAATTTCCTGACCACTGTTCAAAAATTAATCATTATACATCAATAATCAATTGGGTTGTTTATTTTTTTAACAGTGATGGAGAAATTAAACGCTTTTAAATTGGACACTCATTATCAAAAATTGAATGGTCAGCTTTAAATTGGACACAAGTACAAATTAGATGATTTTGGAGAATTTTAAACAATATTTACAAATTTTTAAACACACAAGATTAAATAATACCTGGATTACTGTGTGAGTTTGTGTGCAAATAAAAACAAATCATGAATATCATCAAGATGTGTATATAGTTTAATAAAAGATGTACTCTAGTGGAAATAACTTCAGCCCCCTCCAAAATAAGATAAACATCAACAAATATATGTATTTAGTTAGAATAAGGTGATGTGAATCAATGTTTGCTTTGTTTCCCCGGTTGTACATGACAAGTAGTAGGATCGCCTGTCCAATCGCATGGGTTTTTTCCGGGTCCTTCATTTTCCTCCCACTGCTAAAGACCCCTACACTGTACACACAAGCGAATTATTGAATAAAATTGAACCAACCCACCAACCCTATATTTTGTGGCTAAGTAACCGTAAACACTTATTTTTTTTTTTTATTTGGCCTTATGGCTCTTCTCTACATGTAATGTCATAAATCATGTAAATAGCCAAAATAACAAGAAGAAGTACGATCATAATATGTACCAGGAACTGACCATGTTGTTGGATGAAATTAAAAAATCTAATTCACCAAGGCGATGCAGAATTGTTCAAAGAACAAGCATGCCTATTTTCATGTTGATTGGACTTCAATTGATGGCGCTTTACGCTTTTTCGAAGAGCGTCACCCCAAGAACAAGATGAGCCACACCAATTTGATTTTCATTCTTCGGGAAAACCTGTTATAATTGGGCTTCTTATTTCTTCTGGAAACAGACCAATCTAACACAGATCCTATTTCGTCTTTTATAGTTCAAAATTTCGTTTTGCTTGTCTTTGCTACACTAGGATCTGGAAGAGTTGTTATCATGGACGTGTTCTGGATGATGTGAGGGTTTAGGCAATGAAACAGTCTGTTAAAGCGAGCTTTTGGTGTGTGGTGCACGGAACTGTGGGTAACCCACTAGAAACATCAATGCTGATCGGTTAATCGAATGTCTGACATCATAGGGTCAAAAGCCGCTCGTATGACCTATGGCGCAACCTTCCACTAAAACCAATCTGATCTTCATGTAGTGTAGGCCATCGAAAGTATAAAAAAATGAAATGAAATATAGATCTGTATTTTCATTAGATTGGAAACAGACTAATTTAAAAACCAAAAGTATTTGGTTGCACTGTTCCAAATTAATAAAATAATCAAAATAAACAATTTTAAATTTTTTTTTTTGTTATGAGCACATGATTTGGTAATGGGGTGGTGTATTGTTATCATACTTGTCCGTTTGTGCCTCCATCCATATTCATTTCAATGGAGTTGCTGTGTTCATTGGAAGGTTGGGTGGATAAATAGTCTAATGCATGTTCATTAAATGATAAGGTCTGGCGTGGTTTCGACTCCCCACTTGTACGTGGCAAGGAGTAGGGTCGTCTGTCCAACCTAGTGGGTTTTCTCCGGGTCCTCCGGTTTCCTCCCACTGCTAAATGGTCTAATTCATGTGCTTTAGATCATAAGGTCTGTCAATTGAATAAAGTGAAGTGGTTTAGACTCCAGACTTCCCACTTGTACATGACAAGGAGCAGGGTCGTCTGTCCAACCTCTCCGGTTTTCTCCGGGTCCTCCGGTTTCCTCCCACAGCCAAAGACCCCTAAGCACAACTGAATTATTGAAATAAAATTAAGCCTTGTGTTATTCCCAAAATGACCTAGTTTGTGTGAGTGGTAGTTAGACCCCATTTCTTTCTCTCTCAAAGCAAACTCTGTGTGAATATTTGAAGTGTTGTAATAATGCCAGTATCGTAGTAAACGGGTCTGTTCATTATGTGATTATGTAATACAGTGTAATCAAACACCATGCTGCTAGGTCTGATATTGGGTGAATGGCTGTATTAAATACTACCTGCGTCCTGCTCATACTATTATGAATTACAACCATGTAGCAGTGAAATGTGAGATAAAAACACAATTAAACAGATTGCAAATGATATTGGATTGTCCATCAAATTCAACACTCCTGCAATTCATCGTACATTAGGCATTGTGTTAAAGCAAATAAAATTTGATAAGCTTTTAATAATTGTGCAATTTCTGAAGGTGCCTGGTCTGATAACTGCATTACAAAATAAAATCAGAGCGAGGTAAGAAGAAAGGGTCTTTATTATGTTCATACAACAAACTTGGTTATTTTGGGACTAACATACAGGTAATTTTGATTTTAACTGATTTACTTATTTCCAGAGCTTATAAAAATAGAGTAACCTGGCAAAGATTCTTAAGGAAGATATCTAATTTGAATATGATTCTCAACTCAAGAAATGTTTAACAATGACATGATCAAATTCTTAAAGATTCATAATGTAAGAATTAAATAAAAGAGGTGGCTGTTCTTGCTATAATAGTTCAAAAATAGATAAGGAAAAATGTAGGCCTATATACTGTACTTAAAATTTCTGTCGAATTACTTTATTATGTGGGGGGTTGGATGGCTGAATGGTTAGCGTGCGCGCGCTGTATCATAAAGTCTGTCATTGAGACGACTGGCGTGGTTTCGAATCCCCAGTTGTACGTGACAAGGAGTAGGGTCGCCTGTCCAACCTCGTGGGTTTTCTCTGGGGCTTCCAGTTTCCTCCCACTGCTAAAGACCCCTACGCGCAAGCGAATTATGTAAATAAAAATTAAACCATATGTTAGTCCCGAAATGACCTAGTTTGTGCCGAGTGGACGTTAAACCCCATTCTCTCTCTCTCTTTATTATGTGTAAAGTTATGAGTGTTTGAAGGTTTTACAAAATGCAGCTTAGGTTGTTTATCATCCAATGATCTAGAGTGTTGATTAAAGTAGCTAAGTCTCTAACTCAATATCATCCAAAATCTTCAACATTGAAAACACAAATTATTTGTCAATTTAAAACAACATTGATGCTGTGATCTTACTGGAAAAAGATAGGCTTCTGATATCCAATATTTAAGACAAAATAAATATTTCACCATTGGTACACGAATCGTGTACCATAATGCGTTTCAGTCCCAGTTCTAGCAAGAGACTCAAGGAATGAGGCTAGACGTATTGCACCAAACCAAACGGCGTATGTAGACTGGAATAACCAGACGCTAGGAATTTGCATTCGATTGAGACTGCTGGCTTATTTCACGGAACATAACTGATTTGAAATTAGAGTAAAAACGGAAACGATTGAATGTAAATCAGTTTATATACATTCATATTACAGTATTATATGAGTTGCGACACACTTGTGTCAATTTCTAGGTTCCAAATGTTAGCAATTTAGCTCCTTTAAGGGCTTGTCATGTTAATAAGTATTAAAATAATAATTTATATAACATTTTGAAGCCAGATAAAGGACCTGCAATAGGCAGATTTATCTCTTACATATTGCAGCTATTGTTGATAAAGAACCAACCAGTAGAATCAATAACCAGACACCAGAAATAGAGGAGGAAAACTTATAACAATATCTGAACAGAAAAGGTGAGTGTCTTATTTTATTTTCTGAATTTAAAATTTTTAATGTTCAAATTTAGAAATGCTGGATGTTTTGGGAGCTGTAGTGGCAGAGTGACTAAGACACTGGCTTGCTATCCTGGAGGTCCCTGTTTGGATCCTGGTATTGGAATAGAAAGTTTCTTGGGATTTTCCCTTGTTGTTTTTACTTGTCAATGATCCGGGGCAAAGGGCCTGGCAAGAAAGCACATCTAGTCTTTTGAAAGGAAAGAAAAACTGAGGTCATATGTACACAGTATTATGCGTGTACAATAACCCTTGACTCGCTATCCCGGAGGTCCTTGTGGACTTTTCCGATGTGTTGTCAATGGTTCAGGATGGTGGGTGTGATAAGAAATATCTAGTCTTTTGGATGGGATGGAAAACCAAGGTTTTGTGCATGTAAAATAACCCTTGACAGAATTTGAAATAATAATAGGCTGTAGTCCTGTCAGAGCAAATTTTCCCTCTTAGGACACTGCACTGTGTGTACCTGTCTTCATTGGCTCAGTCCGCGTAGGGAGAGAGAGAAATGGGGTTTAACTTCCACTCGACAAAAAAAAAACTAGGTCATTTTGGGACTAACACATGGTTCAATTTTATTTCAATAATTCGCTTGTTCATAGGGGTCTTTAGCAGTGGGAGTAAACCGGAGAAAACCCATGAGGTTGGACAGGCGACCCTACTCCTTGTCACATACAACCGGGGAATCGAAACCCCGCCAGTTGACTCAGTGACAGACTGTATGATACAGTGTGCGCATGCTGACCAAAAATAAAAATGCGTTGGTTGTTCTTCAGAAATTATTTGAACTAGAGAGTTTTTATGAGTGTTCTATTAATAGTTTAAAGATTTAAGAGGTAGAATGTAACAGACAGCCAGAACTTGTTTTTTTTTATTCAGTCTGTCTTTTTATAAAGTAAACTATCATTATTCTTCCTAAAAACACTGGTGCAAATCACTGATAGAAATATTACCAGGTAGAATTAGAGCATAGTTAATTTGAGGTCCAAGCCATTACAGATTAGCCTTTAAGTCTAATCAAAGTCAACTAGTTAATCCAGTAGACACTGTAGGTTGTTCAGTTATTGTTTGTCCAATCTTAATC